TGCCCCAAGCAAGCAAGCAAGTTTCTTACAGAAGCCAAAATGTGCTGTTAGCCCTGAAGCTGTTCTTCCATTTCGTTCGTCACAAACCAATAGGTACCCCAAAACCAAAATCAAAAAAGCCTGAATTTGGAAAAGAAAGGACAACGTGAAATTTTATTTTCCTCTCTCGACCAGGTACTACAGAGATCTGGGAGACCTGACTGTGGTAAGAATTCTCATCCTTCACCAGCTTCTGCCAGTTTTTCCAGGACCCCTTCTGGAGGCTCTGGAGCATGAGGTATTTAGAGTGTAGCTCTGGTATCTATCAGAATTTAACAAGGGTTTCCATTAATCTTAGTTTTAGTGTCCCCTTGGCTGTTTAAGGGAATAATTGGTAGCAGTTTACCAGAGACTCCCTCAGAGTCTCATCAACCCTGAGAGGGGCCATTTGGTGACCCTCCTTTGAGGGTAGATACGGGGTATCTGTAAGGCCACTAACTTGGCAGACTTTTGTTTACAGTTCTATAGTCTGTTCAGAGTGGAAAGGCAATTCAGACAGGATTAGCAGACTGGCTGCTCATATAAAGGAGGACGGGGGAGGGGCTTCCCTGGTGGCGCAGTGGTTGAGAGTCCGCCTGCCAATGCAGGGGACGCGGGGCTGTGGAGCAGCTGGGCCCGTGAACCATGGCCGCTGAGCCTGCACGTCCAGAGCCTGTGCTCCACAACAGGAGAGGCCACAACAGGGAGAGGCCCATGAAAAAAAAAAAAAAAAAAAAAAAAAAAGGAGGACAGGGGAGTAGTAGGAGTCACATCAGTCTTGTAGTCTTTGGTTTTAGGTACCTCTCGTGTCTTTACTTTCTCATTACCCTTTTGCGATGAATCTTTCAATGAAGCTCTCTGGGACTCTTGAAGCCTTTTGGAGGCATACCAATTAAAATAGGTATCCCATTCCATTTGTTTGATTTGAGGACTCTTACTTTCAAGTGTACTGTTAAATGAGCCATCTTGTCTAACTGGAAGATTGCCTATAATGGCCGTTGTCATTCTAGGTTGTCTTAGTAAGATGTTGCCAGTTTTGTAGATATCTATAGCTTCTCGGACTGCATTTATCAGACATAAAATAGGCAGGTGTGCCAGAAGGTGGCAAGCTTAATTCTTTGATATTTGAGGGTCCCACTTCTGTAGCTAAGCCTTGGATCACTTAGAGCCAAATTAATGCTTAATAGGGATGTGCCACCAGGTTGGGGATTATGTGGTGTTTTCTTCTGGGGTTTTTTTTGTTTATTTTTTTGGCTGTGTTGGGTCTTTGTTGCAGCGTGCGGGCTTTCTGTAGATGCAGCGAGCGGGGGCTGCTCTTTGTTGTGGTGCATGGGCTTCTCATTGTGGTGGCTTCTCTTGTTGCAGAGCACAAGCTTTAGGCGCATGGCCTTCAGTAGTTGTGGATTGAGGGCTTAGTTGCTCCACAGCATGTGGGATCTTCCCCGACCAGGGCTCGAACCCATGTCCCCTGCATTGGCAGGCAGATTCTTAACCACTGCACCACCCAGGGAAGTCCCAGGGAATGTGGTGTTTAACAGTGTACCTTGGGGAGTTCCATGTTGGTCCAGTGATTAAGAATCCACCTTCCAATGCAGGGGACTTGGGTTTGATCCCTGGTCGGGGAACTAAGATCCCAAGTGCCCTGGGGCAGCTAAGCCCACGTGCTCCAACTACTGAGCCCATGCACTCACCATAGCTACAAAGAAGTACGCGCGCCGCAATGAAGAGCCCGGTCAGTGCAACGAAAGATCCTGTGTGTCACAACTAAGACACGATGCAGCCAACAAATTAATTAATTAATCAATTAAAAACAAAAAGTGTACCTTGTTACATGGAAATTTTTATGAGGTTGGCATGTAACCTACTGTTGATCTAAACCATTCCTTGACCAACTTATCCTACCCCAGGAGTCTGAGAGTGAGGTGGTGAGCCCTCTGACAGCATTTAAGTGTTTGATCTGTGGCCACCAGTTTTGCTGCTTTGGTTTTCAAGATTCCCATAGTAGTAGATCTTTATTCCTTTAACGAGAGTATCTCTTTATAGTGGCAGATGCTGTAATGTCTTTCAACAGTTTGACTTGCCTACTTAGATTTTGATGTGCTTTTGGTCAAAATAGTCCAAATTTATTGTCTTAATTCAATTTCCCAAGTCCCCCAGTAGTTTATGCTGTGGACTTACCTTTGTGAGTTTCCTAATGGCTGCCATCATGCTTTCTTTTGCTTCAGGGGCACCTATTATTTTCCCTCATTTAAATAATTCTCCCTAGTTCAACCAGACTTACTGTTTCTGACTGCTTGAGCACTGTTCCTGAGATCTGTCAGTACCTCCTGAAGGTGCTTACACTGTAGCTGAGATTGGGCATAAACTCAAATGTTGTGGCCTACTAGGTCTCACCATGAAATATCTGAAGTCTCTCACACCCCAAATTTCCACGTAAAAGGATTAGAACAAACAAACTTGAGCTCCAAATGGGAACTAGGTGGAGCTCGATCTAAGAGAAATTACCAGAGATACTGGAGAGCAGCTGGAGAGGTAGCAAACTAAAGTGGCTCTGTAGGAACCTTCACCTTCATCTAGGAGCCAACCCGGGAATCTTCAGTGGCTGTTTTCACATCACACCTCATTGACAATACAGGCTATACCTTGCAAAGATTGCGGGTTCGCTTCCAGACCACTGCAATATAGCCAATATTGCAATAAAACAGTCACACAAATTTTTTGGTTTCCCAGCACATATGAAAAGCTATGTTTACACTATACCATAGTCTATGAAGTGTGCAACAGCATCATGTCTATAAAACAATATACACACCTTAATTTACGATGACCTTATTGCTGAAAATACCAAACCAATTTTAATAGTAACATCAAAGATCACTGATCACAGATCACTATAACAGATATGATAATAATGAAAAAGTTCAAAATATTATGAGAATTACCAGTGTGTCACTTTGTGACCCAGAGACACAAAGTGAGCCAAAAGCAGTTGGGAAAAATGGTACCAAGAGACTTACTCAACAAGGGTTGCCACAAACCTTCAATTTGTAAAAAATGCAATATCTGCAAAGCGCAGTTAAGTTAGCACAATAAAATAAGATATGCCTGACCTGTCCAATGACAAAACTAAAACAATTTAGTTACAAGATTGATATCCTTTTTTCAAGGGAAAACAAGCCATGGGTAGAGGCAGTACAGTTCCTCATAAGCAGTGGAGAACTCTTCCCAAGGGATTTGGGCAAGACCAAGTTTTATAGAGCTTTAGAAGAGGCAACGTGGAGACGGCATGACTGGCTAGGAGGTTGGGACTTTCCTTATAAGGGTAACAGGTCCTGATTTCTGGGATTTCCTTATAAGGGTAACAGGTCCTTATAAGGGTAACAGGACCTGTTAGGTAAGCTAGCTAAAGCTGAGTTGGAGTATTGTGATTGGTGTATGTTACGTCCCTGGACAGGTTTTTCCTGTTAACTGCAGGCTGACTTAGGTTTAGATTTATGATGTGGTCTAGTCCACTGGGGTGGCTCCAATGTGTGGGTCCCATTATATAAATTAACCTTTAAAGTGTTGATGTCAGCTCACTGGAGTCTTTTCAGTGGTTAAAGAAATTTTTTCACCTAAAAATCAGATAAGGGCTGGAGGTAGATTGGGGTTGGGAGGTGGGGTAGAACGGGGCCAAAGGAGTGGGGCTGTTGAGGTTTCTGAAGACCACAGGGTGTAAGAACAGGTTTCACAATGTCATTTCCTTGAATATTACAGCTTGCTTCCTCAGAGAGCTTTTGGGAGAGAGGCCCCAGCAAAGGGCCGCAAGAGAGATCCCAGAGCAACTCATGTTCTGGGGATGTTGAGGGTGAACAAATGTCAATGAGGATGACAACAGAAAGCAAAAAAGGGAAACTAGCATTGACTGGATACCCACAATGCACTAGGGACTTTGCTAGCACGCAAATTCTCTTTTAAATTTCAAAAACCTTGAGTGCAGTGGTTCTCAACCAGGGGCAATGTTGCCCCCAAGAGAACATTTGCCAATGCCTAGAGACCTTTTTATTTTTACAACTAGGGGGTACCCCTGGCATCTAGTGGGTAGAGGTCAGGGATGCTTCTAAACGTCCTACAGTGTATAGGACAGGTCCTCACAATGAGAATTATTTGGCCCCAAATGTCAATAGTACTGAGGCTGAGAAACCCTGCTTGAAGGACAGGCGTGCTAATCTTCATTTATACAGATGAGGAATCTGTAGTTCTGAGAAGCTAGCTGTCATTCAAAATGAGACTTACACAGCTCTAAAGCCCTGCTCTTTGACCATGCCATAGTGATAGGAACAGTGATGGGTAAGAAAGATAAAGAAGCAGGGCACTAATTGCTGCTCAAAGATATTTGTTGGAGGAATGCGTACAAGAGTGAACGATCATCCTATTGCCACTCTGACACACGTCTTTGTCCTTGTTCCACAATCCAAAACGGAGTCAGGATTATGATAATAAAGGAAATCAAATGGTGGGGGCTGGCCTCAAGTCGCTATGCTCGATCTCAGGAGGAGTCTGATGCCAGTGTCTGCGCCTCTACATAGATGGAGAACTATGGGGAGTCTGCTGACACACTCCTCCATCGCCTTTTCTAAGCAGAGAGACAGACGGGAGGTTCTGAGCTGAGTTTGGGTGACCATTTATTCCCCTCTTCCTCCCAGAGGCTGAGCCCAGCTGTGGCCCCAGAGGAAGAGGAGAATCTGTTTCCCAGTTTCCACATTTTCTGTGAGTTTGGAGTGGGACTGAGCCAGATTGATTCTAGGAAACCCTGAAACTTCTGGGATGGAAAAGTTGAGATGAAAGAGGGTGGAAGGGGCGGAGTCAATGACAAAAACAACACTTCTTTTCACTTCCTCTTTTGGAGTCCAGAAGTTGTCTGTTCTCTGCGGTGGAATCTGTAAGCCTCGAGAGAAGTCTGTGCCTGCTGTGCTGGGCTGTCAGAGGCAAGCTGCTCGCTCCAGGAGGTGATGGGGATCCCCTCATTCCTAGCCCTCCCTGCTGCCAGGAGTGACCGAGCTGCCTGCACATCCTGCCATCCTTTGGGCCACATGCTACTGTGGACGGCTCTGCTATTCCTCGGTGAGGCAGGGTCCCCAGGAGGGGCAGTGGAGCAGGGACAGAGGCAGGCATGCTTTTCTAACTCAGCTGCTGGCACTTCGGTTGGGGCTGAGCCTGGGCAAGGATGAGGGCTGGTGCGGGAAGCACGTCAGGAAAGTCAGGAGGGTGAATGAAGGCAGGCTGATGAAAATCAGATTCTGACAACCTTGCTGGCCTTGGCAAATTATGAAATTGGCAGAGTTCTTTTTTAAAAAAATTAATTTATTTTTGGCTGAGTTGGATCTTTCTTGCTGCACGCGGGCTTTCTCTAGTTGTGGAGAGCAGGGGCTACTCTTTGTTGTGGTGCACGGGCTTCTTATCGCGGTGGCTTCTCTTGTTGCAGAGCATGGGCTCTAGGCGTGCGGGCTCAGTAGTTGTGTCGCACGGGCTTAGTTGTTCTGCGGCATGTGGGATCTTCCCGGATCAGGGCTCGAACCCGTGTCCCCTGCATTGGCAGGTGGATCCTTAACCACTGAGCCTCCAGGGAAGCCCAGTCAGAGTTCTTTTTTTTTTAAGTCTTTTGCTGAATTTCACTGTGCACCGAGGTCCCTGGTGCTCTGCCACCCGCCAGAGCAGAGCCAGCTGCGAGCAAAGTCTAGTGACCTAGACTTGAAGGACTAATGAGTGGCCAAGGTGTTTACCTTCCTTAGAAATTGTGTTTCACTGGGACCATATTTTAGGCGGGAGGGCTAATGCTGTCTTAGGCCAATAGGAGGTGGGGGGAAGTAATAAAACACATGGTTGGGGGCAGTGGCTGTTCTCTTTGCTGCTGAAACCACTTCAGTCAGCAGAAGCCTATTCTCTTTATGTGAAAGGAGATTCCCCTGGGTAAAAGCACAGGAGGGTCTGGGTTATCCAGGGAAAGGGGATCAGAGAATACATAAGCCAGGAAATTCTAGAATCAGTTGTGGGACCAGAGGAATCATGCATGCCTCCTTGCACTGCAGACAGAAGTGAAGAAAAGACAAAGCGCAGCAGAGCAAATTTACTAAAGTGTCAGAATGGCAATTTAGTCTTTCTGAATATGGAGACAGTAAATTTATAGAGATACCAATCTGGCCCCTGTGTGGTAATTTCATTAACACACAGCTGAACAAGTAAAGACATGGAAACCCAGGTGAACATAATGCACACAGAGACCATCAAGAGAGTTAAGGGGATTTGCAAGGAGGTGATTATTTATAATGATGAATCATCACATCTAAACACCAGGCTGATCTTTGCTTTCTCTTTTACAGCTCCTGTTGTTGGGCAACCTGGTAACTGCTCACCACATCCTCTCCCTCCCCCAGCTACCCTCTCTCTCTGCTCCCTGTACCCTGTCTGGAGGTGCTCTAGGTGCACCAGTAACCCAGGACCAAGGTAGAGCCAGGGAAGAGTAATTGCTCCCACAAGATGCCCTGCCCCACCCTCTGCTGTGTCCTCCCCTTTCCTTCCTCCCAGGGAAGCCAGGGATGCACAGCCATGGGGACAGGTGCCTCAGCCCTTATGCTTCTGTTACGGTGAGACCTCACAGATTCTGTCACAGAATATAACTGTCCTCTGTCTCAGTTGCCTTCCTCTTTCCAAACTAAATCACAAGGCCAGGCCATTTTAGTTTCAGTTGCATACAAAATCACATGATCTGCTTATGTTATCCCCATAACATATCTGACATGTTAGTTCATTTGCTCTGCTGCTGTTGTATTTTCCTCACTTTATGTCTGCATTGATAAATCTTTTACTCTTCATGTATCTGAAGGCTTCAGGGCCTGTTCCCCTGGACACAAATAGGAAATACCGCCGGTTCTGGTGGGATGAACACGGCTGGGCACTGCTTTCTCTGCACCACTAACCTCTCCACCTCCCAGGACTGGTAGTGGGATGCGGCTCTACATGGGCCACTGAATGCAGGGCTCCCTAGACTGGCCTGCCAGCCTTTCTCCTCTTTCTTATTCTTCTGAGGCCACAGAGACTCCTCTGTGCTTGGGTGTCAGGACAGGTCTATTCTAAAGGATAAAGAATGGGGACTTCCCTGGTGGTCCAGTGGTAAAGAATCTGCCTTACAACGCAGGGGACGCAGGTTTGATCCCTGGTCAGGGAACTAAGCCCGTGCCTCAGCTGGAGCCCACGGGCCACAAACTACAGAGCCTGCGTGTCACAACTAGAGAAGAGAAAACCCACACGCCATAACTAGAAAGAAGCCCATGCACCACAAGGAAAGATCCCACACCGCAACGTAGATCCCTCATGCCACAACTAAGACCTGACACAGCCAAAAAATAAATAAATAAATACAGCTTTTGTGTTGTTGATCTGACTCCTTCCATTCTTTTTTTTAAATGTATTTACTTCTTTTTATTTAGAAATAAATACATCTTAAACAAAAAGAATGGAAGAAGTCAGAACAGAAACGTGGTGCCTGACTCTCAGCCTGGCACCTCCACCAGATGTCCCCATTTGTCTTCTTCCAGCTGTGGAGAGAGTTGATCCACTAGTGTCCAAATGCCTCAGCTTACAGGGGAGGAAGGTGATTCCCCAAAGGATGTATGTGTAGTGTGTGTGCGTGCGTGTGTGTGTGCGTGTGTGTGTGCACGTGTGTGTTTGCTTGCCCCCTCTCCCATTCCCCTACCTCTTGTCCTCTCCCCTGGGGAGGAGGCAAGCTACCTGGGAGAACCTGGGTTCCTGGGGGTCCCTGTTTGGGCTGCATGAGTTGGAGGAACTGCCTTTGGTTGCACAACAGTTCTGGGTTGGGTTCCTCTCTTGATGTCTCCAGCATCATGCATCCAGCATGGCCACAGTTTTCCATCATCTGAGACTTGGGGTCTGCTTAGGCCCTTGGGGTCCCTTTCCTCATGTTGCCTTCTCTCTCTGCCCCTCAGCAGGTCTCCCGAAGGCTGTGGTGAGCATTCAGCCTGCGTGGATCAATGTGCTCAAGGAGGATTACGTGACGCTGATGTGTCAGGGGACCAACTTGTATGAAGGCAACCTCACCCTGTGGTTCCATAATGGGAGCTTCATCCAGAGGCAGAACCAGCCCAGCTATAGCTTTAGGGCCCGCAGCAATGACAGCGGAGACTACAGGTGTCAGAGAGAGCAGACCAGCCTCAGCGACCCTGTGCATCTGGATGTGATTTCCGGTCAGTGGAGGAAGGCCTGGGAGAGTCTGGGAGAACAAGGATAGAAGAAATCTGCTTACATGGCAGAGGTTTTTCGGAAACGGGAATTGCCTGCTTACTGGGAAGCATGGCTGTGAGTTGTTTGAAGGGGTTTTTGTCCACTGATTTCCCTTTTCACGCACTCCATTGCTTAGTATGTGTGGTGAGGTGGAAGTTCCTAAGAGATTTCTCAGAATATGTTGGGCTCTGTTGTCTCGGTGCTGGCTGGGCGAGAAGGGGACAAGGCCACTGACAGGCAGCTGGGTATGAGAGAAGCAGAAGGAAATCCCTAATTCATAGAAATCCTTCCATTTTTATGGCAGAGTCAAATGCACAGACAGGCCACAACTGAATGCTAGCCCTGGAAATTATAGCCATGTAAACTTGATGATTTCATTTACCTTTGAGCTTCGGTTTCCTCATCAGCTCAGTGGAGATACTACTGCCTCCCTCATCAGGTCCCGGTGAGAATCAGCATTTCCCTGCCCCCCTGCCCTCTGTGCAACTTGAGGTGAAAGTTGTGTCTTAACCACCTTTTATATCCAGCCCCAGGCACGGGACAGGGCTTAATAAATGTTTGCTGAACAGATCAATGATCCTCCAAAGCTGCTGGCAAGAAATACGTTCTCCATAAAGAAAATCTGCAGTGTGATGATGAATATTGTCATTGCTATTCTTCACTTAGTCCCCTTCCCTCACCCAATTCTCAAATTCTCCTCAAAGGTATCTAGGCCTGGTGGGCCTGCAGCTCCAGGCCTGCAATCTCTACGCTCTGTGCTCAGCAGAAAAAGACAGTCCTGGAGGGAAGCCCCAGAGGCCTGGCAGGGCCTCAACCTCAGTGCTCCTGCCTCTCTAGGGAGGGGTGGAGGTGAGGGATCCCTCCCCCGAGACTGTGCAAGTTCCCACCCGACCAGCAGGTGCGTTGACAAGGAACCCTGGCACATGAGGTGGACACCACCCTGAAGGACCTATAGGTGAAGAGCTAGATGTGAAGGCCTGGACCCAGAGCACCAGCCATGGGGGCCCTGAACCACTGTCATGGAGACTAGAGTCAACAGAATGCCAACTGCACCAGTGGGAGTCCCTACTCAGGTGGTAGCGCTCGTTCCCAGACAGCTCAGTGCCACGGTATGAACAGCAGGCAGAGCAGGCACTGCAGGGGCAGCTCTGTGGGCCTCAGTATCTCCACTAGTTAGTGTCCAGCAGCAGCTCAGCAGGCCCAGCTGCATAGCCGGGCTGCTATCTAGTGGCCACAACTGCTGCCAGTCAGCAGGCCAGCTCCCCCAAACACCAGCACAACGCAGCAGCTGAGCACCACCCAGGCCTCAGTCGATCTGGCCACACATCAGCCTCCCAACTCACCAGCCAATCCCGGAGTAAACTCTCCCAGTGTTACCACTTTGACCCAATCTGTGCTACTGGGGAACACCACCTCCTCCCCCCCAACCTGTCCCAGGCCCAGATGTATCTAAGACCACAGCTGGGAAACCTATTCCAGGTAAACCAGACCTTGGCCCTGCATGTGCCTCTAGCTTCTCAACTCATCCTGATGCCTATTAGGGCAGTGGCAGTAGTCCAGCAGGAGGGGCTGTCTGCTCAGGCTGCTGGAGGCCATGTAGATGCAGCTTAGGTAGAGAACTTGGCACTGAGGAGCAACAGGCTTAGCCCAAAGCTCCACCCAGAAAGCTATTCCCCTGTTTAGCCTCCCCCAGGCCTCTAGCCAGGCCCTAGCTGTGGCTCAGGCTCCCTCTGGGGCCTCAGGCCAGTTCTTTAGCCTTAGTCCAGCTGGTGGGGGCAGCGGGAAGAGCATTCGAAGGTACATGGGTCCAGGCAGAAGTGGCCACCCACCTGGGCCTTTGGGTCAGTGGCCCTCCTCAGGAATAGGTGGTGCTTGGAGCTATCCCAGGAAAGGCACAGGAGTGGTGGAGCCCTTGCCTGCATCCCAAACAGTGACTGATCCAGGGCAGCTAGTGCAGTGGCCAAGAAGACAGAAGCAGATGGGAGTGGTCAGCAAGACAGGACAGCTGCACCTGCTCCCAGCCAGACCCTCACTAGCTCAGTCACCACACACAGATCCAGCCCCATTCACTGATTTAGCAACAGCAACAGATCCAGCTCTTGGAGAAACAGGTGGTGATGCGGCAGCAGATTGTTATCTACCACTGGCAGCAGCTCCAGCACTGTCAGCCCCGGTACCCTCCCCACAGCTACACCTCTCCAGTTGGTCCAGCAGCAGCCACAAGTCTCACTGCCCCTCAGCCACCACAGTCCAGGTCCCTGTTGTGCTCTGCATGCAGTCCGTGCACCTGCCAGGCAACCCCAGACGTTGGCTGTCAAATGCAAGGAGGAGGGTGATGATGTCTCCACATTGGGTTCCGTGCTCCTGTCAGGGCTTCTCCAGTAGCAGAGAGCCCCAAGGCCACGGATGAGGAGAGCAGGCTTGGAGAAGGAGCTGAACCAGTGACCAGTGGGAATGCTAATTCCCCAAGCAGTGAATTAGCAGCCGTGGCCCCTGCCCATCAGCACCTCCTCCTACACTAGCCATGGTGTCCAGATAAATGGTGACTCAAACAAACCTCCACAAGCCACTGTGAAGCCCCAGATGCTCATCCACATGATTGAGGGCTTTGGTATCCAGGACGGAGCAGAAC